TTTAGGATATTATTTGATATCTCTTTTGAATATTGATAATTTTTATGTAACTTTTATTTAAACAATTTGCAAGAAGAAGAAACGTTAAAATAAATAAATATCTTTTTTTTATATAAAAATAAAAGAATTATAAAATTATCAATTAACTATATAACTACAGAAACAGTTACAAAAAATCGAAAGCCAAGTTGAAACAATTTATATAAAATGATAATGTTTATATAAAATGATAACATTTCAACTTCCTATTCTTCTGAACTTTATTCTTTGTTGTTCAATTAATGATTAATTGATTTTAGCATTTTTTTCCCCTACCACAATTAGATAAAGCTAATTATTTTATATTATATAAATATGATCTGGAAAATAAAAATATATGAATGTTACTATTTTATTACATGAACATTTCAATTTGACTTTAGATTCTTTTTAATTAACTAATTTCAGTATTTTTTATTTCACTATTTTTATGTAAATATGTAATTACATGAAAATTATCAATCAATGTTCAAAAGCGAAATAAATGATACCTTCAATGAAATTAATATGTGTGTACAAATGAAATGGTTTTAAATCAGTATAAAAATATATAAGTGTTATCGTTTTATTACATGATTTCAATTCGACTTCAGATTCTTTTCAACTAATTAACTAATTTTAGTATTCTTTTTATGATTTGTATGAAAATATGTAAACAGATAAAACTCCAAGAATATTTTATTACTTCAGGTTTATGTTATTTAGGTTCATACTCAAATACATATTCATATAATATAAAACAACTAGCTCTATCCAACTGTGGTGGGGAAATCTACATAACAAAAATTTAAATGTTCATATTCACAGGTTTAGAGTATTGTTTATGTCTCTTTTAAACATTATTTTCTTGTATACACATATTAGATCCTTTTAGAGTATTATTTTAGAGTATTATTAACATCTCTTTTGAACATTGATAATTGTTATGTAACTTTTATTTAAACCTGCAAGAGGAAAAAAACGTTACAATGGATAAATATCTTTTTTTCATAAAAAGAAATAAAATAATTACACAACTTACAGAAACAGTTAGAAAGAATCGAAATCCAAATTGAAACATTTATGTAAAATGGTTTTTCTGAACTTTATTCTTTGTCGTTCAATTAATAATTAAATAATTTTAGCATTTTTTCCCAACCACTTAGATAAAATTAATTATTTTATATTATAGATATGTATATGAATAAATATGTCTAGATAACATCAATTTGAAATGTTCATATAATAACATTTATATATATATTTTTATACTTATCTAAAGCCATATTTTAATTTTACCGTTAATTTAGAAGGCTTCATTCACCCATACATATCAGGTTCTTTTAAAATATCGTTTATTAAACATTAATTAGAATAATGTAACTTTTATATATTTTAACCTGCAAGAAAAAGAAACATTGAATTAAATAAATATCTTTTTTTCATAAAAAGAAATAAAAGAATTATAAAATTTTTTCACCTTGAATTCCTATTCTTCTAAACATTAATCTTTGCCATTCAATTAATGTTTATAAATTTTTATAAAAATCGTGATTAGTTAAGAAAGAATCTAAAATTGAATTGAAATGTTCATATAAAAATAAAATAATAAAATGAAAAATAGAACTTACCTGCAAAATATAGTAGACACACATGAGTTACACTCCGAAACAAATTATCACAAACTGTTAAACTCGCCGCGAACGTCAACATCGTTGGCCACTCGGACGTGCAGAAAAAAAGTAAGCATACTATGCAATAGTAGTAAGCAATTTATTATAATACTACTAATGTTTCCTTTTCAATACACGCGTATTTATTACACACGCGTATTTATTATTATATTGATACCCGAGAGGTCTACAACCAAAAACACTATCGTGTTTACATCAATCAATGAAGGGTACTGTAGGATCTAACGAATCAATGTTCGCTGAATCCTACAGTGACCCTGACTTATCAATCTGATAATCCGCTGAGTCCAATAAAATTAATAATGACATCTCGTGACAAACGTTGCAGCCGTACAAACGCGACGATAATAATGATGACGTTTCTTAAAGTAAAAATCGGACTTTGCGTAGCAATATCTCTGCTTGTAGGGCACGTAGCAGAAAAATAAAAATATTTTTATTATGCAAGTCGGACTCAAGCTATCGATCAAGCCTACTTAGAACTTGATCAGTTATTAAGATTCGATAATTTCGGATGCTTGCATCTCGCGTAAAGTTGATTTGACACCTGAGACACTACCGTGTCTCCTGATGACAATAAGTAATGAATCTAAAATTAAAATAAAATAATTGCATTGTAGACATAT